AGCCTCTCACTTCCGCACTTCTCGTACTTATAGTACGCACCGTACGTAGTGCGCGTAGTGCGCGTACTTCAAGCGTGCAGATTGGGACACAGCCTCAGTCTGCTTAGTAGCAACCCTGCTCCACCTAGTGGTCACAATGTTATCAAGTAGAGTACAGTAATCTCCCATAGATCTCCCATGTACAATAGTTATTTCAGCTGTGGCTGATATGTAAACTTGTAATTGTTTTTTTTGTAGCTGCTTTCTTTTATCATTTTCTGGAGAATACAGCTGATCAGGCACTGAGGGAAAATCCTCAACATCTCAGTGGACATGACAGTAATAGAGACACTTTGACACAGGTGTCCCTCAGCTCCTCAAAGAAGCAGAAACAAGTCATCTGCATGTAGGATGATACATTTTAGCAGGAAATGTTAACATAAAAACCTCTTATATTATACGGAGCCACACAGGAATCTTTAAGAAGACAGTGCACTGTCTGCTTTGTATAACTGTGTTTTATGTATCATTGTTTCTGTTGCAGATCTGATGGCAGCTATTAAAGATTGTATTACTGTATGTATCTTTGACTGCTTGTTTGAGCTTGCTTTCATCATTTTGCTTGTGATGTTTTTTAATGTGTTGATGTCAAAGTTTTGGACAGGGAGATCTAGGTTATTAAATGGGACTATGAATGGGAAACTGTTGTTTTTATGTGTCTTAAAGCACAACTAGAAAAATCAGAATGAAGACAGTTATTTCATGAACAAATTTATTGAAAACTCCGTCACTATCGCTCTTCACAATAACATAAAAGTAACACAGTAACATTAAAGGAAGGCTGAAGGTTTTGTTTGATACTCTCATCAATAACTTCCTACAGGCCGTAGTCAAAGTCTGGGTTTCCATCAAGGAAGGTCTTGAAGAAGGCCTTGTGGGCGTCTGGGCTGAACATGAGGGCTTTGACAGCCGAGTCCTGCAACATGAGTTCTGTCCACTTCTTCAGCTCAGGTGTGCCATCCAAAAACCTAATAAGACAAAGGGTAGAGCCAGTTAAATACAAGTAAATTTGAACACCCATTTGTTTGCAATAGTTTCAGTAACGGAGTGAAATGTAAATACTTCAGCACACAGGTAATAAATATAGATATATACAGATAGTCAGTGTTACAAGGGAGGAAAAACATGATTTTGATGTTAAACTGTTACTTTACGTTAATGAAGTCTTAAAAGTCTTAGAATTTTCTTCATACATTAGACCTTAAATTACTTTTTATTTTGATTTAAGTAAAAACAGCCAAACTGGGAATCTGAAAAATCTTTCTGAGGCTGTAAAAACACGTGTTTTCCACTACTGTAGAACCAGCTCTGCCTTTTTGCCTTGAAAATCAGTCGACATTTCCATAGTCTTGAGAACCAAATATAATTTATGTAGCAAACATTTATGTAGATTATGTAGAAAGCAGCAGACAGAGTCTTCAGGCTGCTTCTGTGAATTGCTGTGTCTTGCATTAGCATCTGCTAAAGCCAGTAAGTACAGTGATCCCAACGTTGCAGGGTTATTTTTTGCACAAGCACCAGTTTTCTGAGGTGAAAATAGTTAAATCCTGATCTAGATTGGTTACTGGCACATCTCTAGTTGAGTTAAGGTCCACACAAAAGAGTTAAACTTTCACTGTTTCTCTGTAAGAAACAGCAACATTTGGAAAAGCTATTATTTATTCTAACTTACGGTTTGAACTGATACGCCTCCGCCCTCTCAAACCATGGCCACATCATGTAGTCGATCATTGTTATAGAATCACCACCAAAGAACTTGGTCTTCTTGTTAACGAGACACTAAAAATGAAATGTTATATTCATTAGAGTTGTATTTAACACTCTGAAATAACCAGGCACAGTAATGAAAGATAATCATCCTAATACTGAATACTCAAAGGTGTGGCCTACCTCATTTAACTTGGCAAACTTTTCTTTCAGATCAGCTTCCAGTCCAGAGACATCCTCTCCATTCTTTCTACCTGTTGGGATCTTGTAGAAGTACGGTATCACCTGTAGAAAACAGCAATTTTAATATTCCTTGATGCATGCTCAATCATTCAGGTAAGTAAATCTCCAAAAGTTGATGCTGTT